GGGGCCAAATGCTGGGATGTCATTTCCAAGCTGATGGAGGAAAGTCTGTGACTTCTTCTGGTGCCCTCTGTCGTGTGTTCATTCTCCGTCTCCTTATCTGTTTCTGTCTCTGTCTCTGTGTCTCTCACAGGAGCAGGATCTGTGGACTCCAGGGGTGATGTGAGAAACCGCAGAAGCCTCCCTTCTCCGTGTTTCCCTCTTCTGTCCCGGTGCTCCATTCCTTCCTAAGGCCTTGTCACCCGGACCAGAGCAGTGAATCTGGAACCTCTTCCAAATGGAGACCCGGAGGCTGCAACAAGGAGAGTCTTGGCCTTGGTCCCCAGACTAGTGGTCAGTGCTCTGCCACGTTCTGCGTACCCAGGTCCTCAGCCCCCCAAGCCCCCAGTCTGTACCCTGCTCCGAAGGACCTCGAGGGACTACAAAGCATTTTCCCAGGACTGGGAGCACAGGGGGTCGGGGATGGAGATCGAAGGCCAACAGGCTCTCGCACAAGCCTGTGGGACCCTAGGGACACTGCATCTCTACAGCCCAAGTGACAGAAGAGTAAGCTGAGGCCCTTGTGCTGGAGCCCCTCTGGACTAGGGGGTGGGTATCTCTTCCTGCTTCCAAGTGCCCAGGCTGGTGATGGACACCGGAACCCAGACCCTGTCCTCTCCCAGTGCCCTGGCAACCGCCCTGGTCCCCTTGGGGACCCCTGACCCTCAGCCTGGCCTGTCTCCCCTCCCCATGCTATGGATCTGGGTCCTTGCCAGGAGTTCTGATGCCCTGCCCCATGGCCCAGCTGTCTGCAACCTGTTTCTTCTTTCCCCCCTGTCACCCACCTCGCTCCCAGGGTTTCCTCCCCTTCTGACCCCCAGCTGGGCAGTCAGAGTGGTGTGTGTGTGGGTGTCGAGGTGGGTGTGGGGGTGGGTGTGCAGGTGCATGTGCCTCTACGTGCCTGGGGATGCCAAGGTCATGTCCCCACATGGGACGGGGTGGGTAGCTATTCCTGAGGATCCGAGGGGCTCTCACCCCCAAAGCAAACCTCATGGGAGGGTTGGGACTAGAGAGCAGCTCCTTGGACTCTGCACCCCTCATTTGTCCTGGGCCAGTCCCTGCCTCTCTTGACCCAGGTTCCCAACTGTTCCTGAGGGTCGGACATGGAAAGGCTTGAACGTGGCTGCTCCTCCAGGGGTAGGTGGGGGACAGGTGCACCAGGCACGCAGGCCTCCCCACCGAGAGGGCCAGCCAGGTGTGTCATGGCCAGGTGTGCACAGACGACCTGCCCACAGCTCCTGGACCATGACCCAGCTCTGCGGCGGGTGTGCACGAGACCCACGGCTCCGCACCTGACCGGTCCCCCGCGTTCCCTCACCACCTCGGAGACAAGGGCTCTTCTTCGTCCTAGGGCCCGTCATCCTTTGGACAATGAGAGCGGAGGGATCCGTATGTAGAGGAGGCCGGCAGGGCGTCCCACGGAACGTCGTGTGCCCATCTCTGCTTTGTCGTCTAGGCTTAGCGACGGACCCCCACCTAGAAAGAGGCCCCCGAGGCAGGGACATTTGTCTGCCCTGTTCCCTGAATTATGGAAAATGTCTAGAAGGGGCTTCCTGTCCATTTGTGGAGTCGATGAAGCCCAGCCAGCACCTTTCACATGTCTGAGTGGCTCTGGGGCCCCTCTGCCAACCCCCAGGGATCCCTGCTCTGGCTCCACCCAGGATGGGAGCCCCAGATGGAATCTGAAACCTCCTCACCGCCAGGAATGCGGCTTTGCCCGGGACACAGGACACCGAGGCTTGGGGCAGAGAGCTCCTTCACGGTGAAGAGGAATCGCCTCAGCCCCAGGCGACCCTCCCCGTGGGCCAGCCACAGGGTCGGGAAGCGGTCCCAACAGGCCCGACGGCAACCCCGTGTGTGGGGCCTGGCCTCGTGGCACGCAGGGTCCCCAGGAGACTCCTGAGGTTCGGAGAGGGGACGTGCCAGGCCCGAGACACACAGCCCGCAGGTGAGGGGGAGCCTCCGGGCGGGACGGGGGGCCCTGCTCACCTTGGTGAGCAGCAGGTGTGGGAAGGGCTGGGGAGGCGTTCCTTTGGGAGGTGCTCTGGGAGAGGGGCCACAGGAGAGGGCCTGGCCCGGCTCCACCAGCTTCCTCAGGCTGTCAGCACGGACCGCCCACAGCCTCTGGCTCGCCCACAGCCTCTGGCTCGCCCCCAGAGGCAGGGCCCATTCAGGTTCACGGTGGGGCTGATCTGTGGATAAAGGAGGGAGAATTCACAACACAGAAATTGCAAAACTATTCCTGTCCGTGTCCTGAAGTGCAACAGAATATCCAAATTGGTTCGGATCATCTTCCACGTATGTGAAGGGTGATTTTGTACATGGCCAAGGCTGGGGCTGGACCGGGTGTGTGTGTCTGTGTGTGAAGGACCAGGTGTGTGTGTGTGTGTGTGTGTGTGTTTGAAGGACTGGGTGTGTGTGTGTGTTTGGCGTGTGTGTCTGTGTGTGTGTGTCTGTGAAGGGAGCAGCCCAGACCCCTTGGGTTGAGATCATGGCCACGTATGGGGCACAGCCGTTGTGGCACCCCGGGTCGTCAGTGTCCCGAATGGCGTCGGGGCAGGAGACCCTCCCGGCCCTCCCCGAGCCCGGTCCTGGAGCGCCCTTGTGCCCACACTCCCCCTGAACCCGCACCAGCCCTTACCGACTGCCTGGTGCACGTGCCCCACGCCGGGGAGCCATCGAGTGAGGCTCCTGTTGACCAGCTTGTCCCCAATTTCTTCCATGGGGCTCTGCGAAGACAGTGAGCGGCGCCCGGCCCGGAGGCATCACAGCCCTGCCCGGCCGGCCTCACCGTCCTCCTGCCCAGCCCCACTGCTGCCCCCAGATCAGACACAGCCCCGTGCGGGCCCAGCCCTGCGCCCGGGGTGCAGTGACATGTATCGACAGGGCTCCGGATCAACCCTGGGGAGAAGGAGGCCGCCCCAGCACAGCCCGTCCCTGTGCCTTGTCAGAGGAAACCGGCCTCCCCCAGCAGCGCTGAGCTGCCTCGAGACCTGGCTCTCGTTCTCGGGCTGCCTCTCACTCTGCCAGTGGTGCCGGATCGGGTGGGAGAACTGGTGTGGAGGTGGCTCTGCTCTGGAATTCACCCCGGAGCTGCTTTTGCCTCCGGAGGGGGACCGCGGGTCGGAGCTGGAGGGGCTCTAGTCGGCGGGGCCCTGACCGCTGTGGCCTCAAGATCGGGTCAACCTTCCTCTTGTAAATTTCCACAAAAGGAAGCAGGCAGAATCCTAGAGATGTTCTTCCAGTGGTGACCCCTGTGACGCTCCTGGATCCGAGTGGTGCCAAGGTGGACTGCCTTAGGAGGTTTGCGGGCACTGGCCCGTGTGAGGTTTGGGGACTCCCTGTGAATGCCGTGACCAGTTTTTACCATCTTGATTATGGTCTTCCATAATTTTTTTTTCCAAAAGGATGATACCAAATTACTATTTTTTTATGCATGCTTTTTAAACTTTTTCTCTACTGTATCTTCTGAAAGTACCTTCCCATATATTTCTGTTTTTTTTTAATTAACATAATACATTATTTGTTTCAGGGGTACAGGTCTGTGATTCATGTATTTCTGTTTTTAAGGAATTAATATTTCTAAATTTTCAGTGACTGAAAACATTTCCATGATATAGATGTACCATTTGACCAGTTCTTTACCTTTGGACATTCAGGTGTTTTTTTTCACTTCCTCTTTCTTACTGTCTTCCTGTTACTTCATTCCTTCTTCTTTCTGTCTTCCTGTTATTTACTGGTGATAGAACTTTTGTTTTTGGGTGTCCAGAGTTATTTGTTCGCTGGGCATAGAGTTATTTTATTAAACCCTAGTGTGGACTTTGGGTAGGCTGTTGCTTGTGAGAGTGCCACTTTTTGTGTTCAGGTATGGACTCATATCTTATGTGTATCTGTCTTCCCAGCATGTAGCATTTGCCTGGTACAGTGGGTGCTCACTAAAGAATTATTGTTCAGTTCCAGAAATATAAGGGCCATGGGACAGATATTTAAGTATTTACCACGTATTTAAGGCCCTATATATAGGAATGAACAAGACAAAGATTGTCCTTGCTCTCATAAGCTGAAATACTACTCTCTACAACAAGGTTTATGTTATAAAGATGACAAGCCTCTTAATGTGAGGATCAATTAAAAAACCTTAAAGTTGGGGCACCTGGGTGGCTCAGTCGGTTAAGGGTCTGCCTTCAGCTTAGGTTTTGATCCCAGGGTCCTGGGATCAAGCCCCACATCAGGCTCCCTGCCCCTCCCCCTCCACTCCTGCTCTGTCTCTAGCTTTCTCTCTGTCAAATAAATAAAATCTTAAAAGAAAAAAAAACCCTTAAAGTCACACAATGTAGGAGAAGCAGTCTACGTGACCTATAGCGTGGTTACTTTTCATGCATGTGGCTAATTGAGGGTTGACTAATTGATTTTCCTGTAGATGATATTTCTTATTTAGGATTGTCCACTAGGGTTACTACAATGGAATGATTTTTTTCAGGTTCATACTTTTTGACCCTTTCAAGTAACTAGAATCAGTTAACTAAAATTTAAAATTTCATACCTGAACATAATATGTTATACTTAGCTATTATAGAGAACTCAACAGATCTTTTAGGATTGGGTTTGGGGGCAATAGGAAATATATCCCAAAATATTTTTGGTTTTTCTCTTGCACATTTTAAAATATGATTAAACAAAGATTGCAGCCACGGAGATTTTTTGTTGTAAATTGGTGTTTCAACACTGCCAGCAGTCCACGCTTTTTGTGGTCCCACTTATAAAAGTGGAAAGTGAAGGGTGAATGGCTGCCCTCTTGGGCAAGCACATAATTTAAAAAAAAAAATGTGTGTGCCCCAGCAGAGCTATATTAGAGTTTCATATAGCTGCCTTTTTCTTTTTTATTGTAGGGCCAGCTCTCAATGTTGCAAGAAAAAATAGACCATTTGGAGTGTTTGCTAGCTGAGAATAATGAGATCATCTCAAACATTAGAGACTGGGTCATCAATTTGAGTGAGTCTGTGGAGGATGGTCCAAAAAGTTCACAAGGCAATTTCAGCCAAGGTGCTGGCGCACCTCTTCTGCCATCAAAACAGTTGTCCCTTGTAGTGGACCCTGAAGACTGTTCGTTCGCTTTGCAAAGTGGAAGTCGGAATTCAGATGTGCAGGTAATGTATGCATTCGTTAATGATCATTGGGATTTTCTTGCTTTTCTTTCTTTTTTGATCTGGTGTCTGTTTTAACTTAGTAAGTTGCTTAAACTCTGGATTCTAGTTTCTGTTTTTGTAAAGTGGATTAGTCACATGACCATTAAAGTTGTTTTTAGTGATAAAATTCTGTAATTCTTTATTTCCCTAATTATTTTTTTTATTATTTTATACTTTGTGATTATGGCCTTTTTGTATGCTTTTTAGGTCTTATTTTGTCTAGTAGATGAAGACTTTTAGAGGTTTGTTTAAATTTGACCAAAGAGATTTTCTTATCTTCCTATTAAGAGTATAAGAAAAGCCTTATTCTCACGATATATCTTTTATACATTATAGGTTTCACACAGTGTAGGGTTCGATACCTTCTGCTGAATATCTCTTTGTGAGAGAGGGAAGGGAAATATTCTAGAGCTGTGCTGTTCAGTATGAAAGTCACTGTCCACGTGTGGCTCCTGAGCGCTTGAAATGTGGCTAGTTTGAATTGAGATGTGTTCTAAGTGTTGAAGACTTACTATGAAAACGAATACAAAATACTTTGTTTCATTTTATATATATGTGGAGATAATATTATGAGTATATTGGATTAATTTAAGTAATTAATTAAAAAAATTACGGATTTGCCTTGCATTCTGTTTCTCTTGGATAGCGCTTTTCTAGAGGGTGGTGGAGTTGTAAACTAGGATAAGAAAGGACTTCTGCTTTTCTTAAATTTAAGGTGTGTCAAATGTGCTCTGTTCTGCCAGTTAGCAGAGAGCTGTGTTTAACCTGTACCTTAGACCTGAACTCAAACTTGGTGACGAGTCTGTACTTGTCAATTAATTTAATTTAATTTAATTTAATTTTGTTGGACAAAATGGGTTGGCTCTGGCCTTGCTTTGGAGTAGATGTTTCTACTAACTTCTGGGGACAGAGAATGTGATAGGATCTTGAAGCCCGTGGCTCACAGACCAAGCCAGCAGCTGGAGACAGAGTTGGCCAAGCCTTGTGCCCATAATCTTATCAACTAGTGTGTGGTCAGGTTCCCACACTATCAGGATTCTGTGCTGTGAAGGCATATCTATTTTTGTGAGTCTTGGCTTTGTATAGGTTTTAAATAAGTACCTTTTAAAGGAGAACAACAAAACTCTTTTTGGAGGGGGTTGTTAAATCTGGGCTGGACAGAAACAGCCGTATTGCTGTAGAACCCCAGAAGGCAGGCAGAACGAGGCAGTGGGGTACAGGGCGAGCTGCAGGGCCGGAGAAAGAACCAGAAGGAATAACAGAGACTGTTAACACATCCTCCTTTCCAGCTGGTTCCCTTTATTGACTCATCCTTGGGAGCATTTTATTTTATTTATTAAAGTCATACATTCTGAAGTGAGAGATATGTTGTTGCCTTAAAATACTTTGCATTCACTTTTTACATAATTTGCTCGGTATCTTTAAGTTTTTTTGTAACCCGCTTATATATTTTATAATATATAGTGATTTTTGTGTAATTAAAATTTTATATATAATTTTTACATAATTTAAATTTTACCAAAGTCAAATTTTGGTAAAATCAGTTTTGTGTTCTTTGTCACATTTAGTATTATAGAGGATATGAAAAATACCAGCTTTTAGGTTTTTTTTTTTCTGCAATATTTTTTCCTTTGTGTCCAAAAAGATTATTACCTCATACTACTACATTGGAAACATAGAGAGCATTTGAACATTTAAAAATTTCCATTTTTACATGATTATGCCTCATTCACTCAGTTGTAGTTTTAGTTTTAGAATGAAAAAGGTGAACATAACATTTGCTAAATGAAGGAACAGCTGTAGATGCATTTCCATTCAGATACAGATTTTAAAATATATGTGATTAATTGTAAAATAAAGACAACTCAAAGTAAAAAAAATCATCAGTATTGCTTGTGAAAATGCTGAAATATTTGGTCATAATCACATTTCATCAAGAAATTTTTTCTTTGCTGTTTAGTTCCTATCAGTTTCCACTAAAATGTATTAGAAGAAAAGCAGGGCAAGAAGGAATTGAATGAAATTATTTTTCATTAGAAGCAGATGGAGGAGGGGCTTATTTATCAGGATAGTTAAGTAACACAGTAGCATTTTAAGAATTTGAATGGTAATTAAATGTTTTCTGCCTTAAACTGTTCAGTTAATGTCTACAGAAATAGTTTTATCTAGTAAAATACATACACAGTGACTAGCTTTGAGCAAATATTTTCCAACATTAAGTTCAAATTAAAAATGGTAATACATGGTTAAATTTGCTCTTTTTTCCCCTATATTTTGTCTTTTGTATTTTTAGATGTTGGATGTTTACAGTCTAATTCCTTTTGACAATCCAGATGGTGGAGTTTGGAAACAAGGATTTGACATTAGCTATTTATTTAATGAATGGGACTCTAAGCCCCTTCAAGTCTTTGTGGTGCCTCATTCCCATAATGACCCAGGTAAAATTTACACTTCAAAAAAACTACAGGTTATTAAGCCCCTGTACACACAGAGTATTTTAACGAGAATCTGGTAGAGCTGATTTCTCAAGTTTTTGAGACACTATTTGCTGACTTGTTCCAGCAACGTATTCCTTTTATTTTGAGTTTTTATCAATTTATGTGCCATTCATGGATAGTACTTGTGCGATGTGAAATAGTAATAAACACAAGAAGGTCTTTGTTTTGGGGATGAAAAGTTGAATTCACTTAAGGTGCTGACTGTTCATCGTAGTTACTTCTTGTAAAATACTGCGTGGGAGAATTATTTTGTGTTCATAAACTGTGCACTAAAAAATGCAGAATTCTCATGGGAACGTTTGAATCTTTAAAATGGAAAAGCAATGTAAAGTGGTTAAGAGCCTTGGTCAGGTGGACATGAGTGTGGAGTCCCAACCCCATGGTGTGAGACAACTTTACGCAAGTTACAGAATGTGAAAGTAAGTATTTTCGCGGGTAGAATCAGAATAAAGTATCTACTTTATAAGATGAGTTGTAAAAGCGTGATGCATGGCCCCAGTAACTCCTGTCATTATCATTATTGTTATTATTTCATATGACAGCTTTTGTTATTTATTGGGGCTGGAGACCTTTTCCTCCAAGGTAAGGGAGAATTGCTAAAATTACAGTGGGAAATATGATTCAATGTATAGATTTGTTAGTGTGAGTACACTGGCACAGAGTAAATACTTCATGAATTCTGTTGCAGAATTTTTTGGGGAATGTACTTCAAAAGACTTCCTTTGAGGACTGACTTACACTTCTATTTGTTACTTTTCTCAATTTTTCCATTTCATCATTACTAATCAGAGGCACCATTATTCACCTAGTACTTTGAAGGTTTTTTTCTTTACTCCCAGCATTCATTTATCTCTGACTTATATCCTTTCCCATTGATTTATTGGCATATGTTCCCTTCTGTTTCTAAGACAGTAGAACTTGTTGCTTTAGGTCTGGATGGACACATGATTTGGTGAAGTTGTGTGTGTCTGTGTGTGCGTACACACGTGTGCTGCTTTGGATGTGAAAGGTACTCGGACAGTTTGGATGCTGAAATGTTTGAATTTCCATAAAACTTCAAAATTCAGTATGCACAGAGGTCTGAAATATGTGAAATCAATATTATTTTGGAAATTTGTGATGAGCATATGTCACACCAGCTTCTGACTTGGTTTCTCTGTCTTTGGTCTTAATGTCTTTATCTTTTCTTACAAATACCCATCCATCTTATTAACCTTTCCTCTTAAATGTTTTGCATCTTCTTCCTCCTTAATCTTAGCCTGTCCCTTCAAATCCAAACTCCGATGGCCAGGCATCATGGAAAGACTGCAGGGATCTGGAGCCAGGCAGAATGAGGCAGGCATCCTGGCTTGGCTGTATACTGGCCCCAAGTCCTTTGGGCACATTTGTGTGTCTGTCAAATGCAGATCATATGGTAGATCATCTTAAAGCAGGAGTTAGTTATCAAGTAAATACAAAAGGTGATGAAAATCACACGTAAATAAAATTCCTTTAGCTATTTACTTACTTGTATGCCAGATTAAATAGTACATTTGCATGTAGGGTATGTGTACTGAAAAACAGGTCTTTGTTTATATCTACACTTAACAGTGAGGTGAGGTGCTCACACTTGATACGTGGGATCTGAGTTTGCCTGTAGGACTACAGATGATTGATTTTCTCTGTAAATCTCATTCACTCTGAAATATCCCCTTATTGAGTGAAATGGTGGCAGAGCCCCTGTAGTATTTAAATTGTTCTCTCCTTTCTTCTCTGCCAGTTCATTTCTTGTCTCTTAATTGGGTGTGTGATGTGATTCCATTGTATCCAGTTTCTTATAGGGTCGTCAATACACTTTGCAGTATGTCTTGCAAGTCCTCATGTGAACCCATTTCTCCAACCTTTTAGATTTTTTAAAGACTTTTATTGTCTCTTCCCCTTTTCTGCCATCCTCAGTTTCCACCACTCATTTCTTGTAATTCTAGAACACGCACGCTTAACTGTAATAATAAAATTTGTGGTTTACCAGGCAGTGTGCCAAATGTTTTATAAACGTTGAGTGCTCAAAACAACCCTAGAAGGTGAGTGCCACTATTCCTGATGAAGGCGTTACCAACTTGTCAGACTTCCAGGGGCAGTAAGTGGCACCACAAGAATTCCGTGTTACTTTACCTGGACCTCCCACCTGAGTACACTCAAGGGACAGAGAACATGTGCCTCCTGTTCAGTCTGTCTCATTGCCTAGCCCAACACGTGGCATATAGTAATCGCTAAATAGAGACGAGGCCTTCCCGACCTGTCTCCATGCCCCCCTGAAGCTTCTTGAACCTTCCATACTTGCACACAGGCAGAGATGTCAACGTTTACAGCACTTCTGCTTTGTCTCCTCACTAGAATGCAAGCTCAGTGAGGGCTCACACTTTGTCTTATAACCAGCAGGTCACTAATGCCCAGAAGAGTCAGCAGCACCTGGTACTGACTCATTCGGTTCAATAAAATAGTGAACCAGGGAATGTGATTCTGCAGACTCAGATGAAACATTGGACCTTGACATTCACATTTCTTTAGCTTCCCTCCATCTCTTCTTCCTGTTGTCTTATTTCTGTTCCTTAAAAAAAAAAAAAAATTAAAATGTGCTTTGTAATTTTAAATACAAACAGCAGATGATATGAAGCTCTTCAAGGGCAGGGATTACCTATGCCTTTGAGATTTTGTTTGTTTGCCTTAGGGGTTCCCGCTGTAGTTAACGTGTTGTTCCGTGGGGAGATTTCTCTAATCATTGGTCCTGACTGCTCTAAGTGAATCTGTCTGTTGGTATCTTAGCAGCCAGAGTTGAGTCTTTTTGTCTTAGTAAAAGATGTTAATGACCCTTACCCTCAGGCCCTCCTCCACTTGAGGAAGAAATAATAGTCTGACACTGACCTTTTATTTTTTTTTATTTTTTAAAGATTTTATTTATTTATTTGACAGAGAGAGACAGTGAGAGAGGGAACACAAGCAGGGGGAGTGGGAGAGGGAGAAGCGGGCTTCCCGCCGAGCAGGGAGCCCAATGTGGGGCTCGATTCCAGGACCCCGGGATCATGACCTGAGCCGAAGGCAGATGCTTAATGACTGAGCCACCCAGGCTCCCCCATGGACTTTTTGAAAGCGAAAGCGATAGCGATTTTTGCTACCAGCAAAATAGAGAACAGAACCGCTGGCTTTTCTTGATAATTTTCACCGCTCCTTCACAAAAGTAGAGTTTAGGTAAGCTAAATCATTCTGTGAAGAAGTAAATCATTCAGATCATGAAGAAACCTCTTTTTCAGTGGAAGAAAAGAGATAAGTGTGTGCGCAAACATTCCGAGTCAAAATGTGACTCTGTAATGGGAAATCTTTGTATAATACTCCTAAATGAATGTGCAGTTAGGCGGTTTACTTTCTAAATGAGATTTATAGAGATTTGTTTGCATTTTCTGCAGCAACAGTTTAAAACAAACTTTAGCTTAGTGGTTTGTTTCATCGGAGTTTTGTCTGTTAGGGATAGGAATGTTTGAAATAGACTTATGAAAGATTCCTATACTGAGTTCCCTAACTTTAGGAATTCTGTGGCTGTGTTTTTATATATGTAGGTGTTTTTCTTTTTGGATCGAGTTCTGATATCTCACAAGACAGATAAATTTCAAATTATGTTTCGTATTTTAATTCCTAATCATGCCTTCTTCCAGTCTATGAGGACATGTAACAATTGTCATACAGTATTTTGTATGGTTTACATGAGTTAAAACAAAATTGGAAAGGAATTGTTAAGTAAATGCTGATAACTTTGTACTGTTACACTTTTGAAAAGTTTTGAATCATAGACCATGAAATTAAATGTTAGTTGATTGATACATGTTCATGTTATATTTAATAAGCTGATTAAAACAGCACCTTTGTATCTACAATCTTAATTCTTTCCTTCCCACTACTTAAACTGCCAAAATATTTAGTTAATTTTCCTTCAAAAAAGTCACAGTGTGTAGAGAGTAGATAAGGTATACTAAATGGAAAGTTGGACCGCATATTGTTAGTTAAGCAATTTGTAAGATGAACATTAGAAAATAATCCCCCATGTGGTATGACTCTGAATCAGAGAGACCTAGGCACAAGAGCCACAGTGGAAAATCATTTTATTTTGTGCATTTGCAGTTGTTTTACAGAGTTTTTATTGATTCAAATGAGTGAGTAGGATTTTTCACTTTTTTTTAAATTAAGGAAACAGAATTTTGCATTTAGCATTATATGATAATTTGAAATGAGTGTATGTACCCTTATTCTTTTTTTTTTTTGAAGATTTATTTATTTATTTTAGAGAGAGTGATATAAGTGGGATGAGGGGAGAGGGACAGAGAATCCCAGCAGACTCCCTGCTGAACGCAGAGCCAGACTTGGGGCTCAGTCTCACGACCCCGAGATCACAACCTGAGCCAAAATTAAGAGTCACCCTTAATCGTCTGAACCATGTAGGTGCCCCTGTGTGCCCTTTTTCTTAAAAAAAAAAAAAGAAAAAGCGAGAGAGAACAAAAACGTGAGGAAATCGCAGTGTGGCATTATTTTAAAGGTTTTCTGCTCATGTATTGTTCAGCACAATCAGAAGAAAAGAGTTCTGGTCAGCCATAGTTGGGTAACACCCAGTGGGTGAAAGCAGGGGAGACTTGCAACTCCATCTGCCAAAGGAACCTGCTGAGTGGAAGGAGATGGTCAGGAGAGGGCCATGTGTTTGTGGGCACAGTTTGCGGAGCACTTTGTTCTGTTTAATAATTGAGGGATAAAATGAGTTCTTCGGTTTTGGCCACTGTGATGGGAAATTTGAGTTTCTGGAGCTAAAATGCATGAAGAAGAACTGAGTGAGAACTGGTATTCATTGCCTGTCTTGTATCAGGGGAGTGTTAAGTGTGTGTTGCTTCATGTAATCCATTCTGCAACCCTTAAAACTGGTA